AATTATCAATATACGTGAAGACTGTTAGCGGTAGATGTTATATTTTCAAATCAGAACACAAACAGTTAGATGATAGGCAACTTGGGAATTATTATTTCAATAAATAGGACCATTGACCTCTGATTTAAATTAAATGATTTTTTTGGCTTAAATACTACCCATGCTATTTTCTCAGAAAATAAACATGGAAGTAGAAGAAATTTGATTTAAGACGTAGTCTTCTTTCCTGGAATTCATTAATCATTTATAATTTATCAGAGGAAAAAACTGGCTAAAACATGTGGAAGGGAACAACTAGTTAAAATTTAATAAACCCAGTGACTGAATGCAGGACCAACGTAAGCCACTAAATCACTGTTGGCCATTTTCTCTCAGAGAACATCTTTCCTAATAGGTTTCTGATATATGACTTGAGATTGTGGTAAAAAAAAAAAAAAAAAGTATTTTCTCTACAGTTGTGATGACACGTCTCAGATTCCAATGCAAGTCAGCAAAAAGCCAGGAGCACAAGTACTATACTTCTAAAATTGAGCAAGATAGAATTTTCAGCTTCTTCAAGTGTTTATTAACCCTGTGCATATGAGATTATATATTATACATACAAGATTTAACACAAGTTATCAATTGTTACCTTAAATTCGACAAGTCAATATTTTGTGGTCTTTAGCAAAAAAAAAAAAAATCACAATGACAATATGCGCTGTCTGACATGCTTTGCTTGAACTCTGTTCCTGATAGGAAATACACCTTCACACAAGACATGCTATCTAGTTCTGTTATTATTTCATCTCTGATTGGTGGAATTTATGTGGCATCTCCACCTAAATTAGACCATCAGATGCTTTCTTCTCTGGGGAGCATTCAGAATCAGCCTGCAGTTAGTAGCAACAGGTCATTTATTGGAGAACTTTCTATAGCTGGAACAACAAAGCTTGTTCTCCATGAACCAAATCTACCAATAATGGTCCCTCTTATAATTCTATGAAATGAAATACCTATTTATACAAAATCCAGTTGTCACTTTATTACATTTGATAATTCATACACCTTTTAAACATTTACTTAACATTTTCTGTGAATCAGGCAATTTGCTCAGCACATTATTTCATTGAATCCTGGTAACAGTCCTATGAAGTACTATTATAAATACTATTTCTGTTTTATTAACATGATACTGAAACTCAGAGAGGTTCAGTAACTTGTATTGAGTGATACAGCTAATAAGTTTTGGAGATGAGATTCAAACCGAGGCAGACAGATCCAGAGCTCTTAACAACTACTTATGCATATTTCCCTCGGTAGAGCTATACTCTCCTTAAAAAGCAATTTAAAAAAAGTAATACCTTAGTCACCTTTTATATTCAAATAAAAAATAATCAAGAAATAATTACTAGTTAACAAATAAATTGTGAATGATCAATAATTACACATTTTAATTATATGTATTTGTGGGATAGGTAATGTGCATATATTCAAAAGTCAAAGTATATAGAGAAAATGAAGGCTCTTTTCTCAACCTTTTCCTTCATTCTCTGCCCTCATACCTCTCCACAAAGGCAAACACTGGTAGACTCTAGTGTGTAATCTTGAAATGAAATTCAATGTATATGCTTACATGTGTGTATATCTATTCTGTCGTCTTTTTGTATTTTGCCTTTGATGTTGTACATAGAGGTTTTTGTTTTTGTTTTTGTTTTTGGCTGGGAAATTTTTTTAATGTAGTCAAAATTCATCAATCTCGGGATTTATGTTATATTTAAATAGACCTTCCGTACTCAAGTATTATGATTTTCTCAGATTTTCTTCCAATATTTTTGTGAATTCATCTTTTATATTTTGATATCTGTTAATCTGTAATTTACTTTGGCATAAGAAGTTAGATATGCATGTCACTTAATTTTTTTGCCCAGATAGCTTCCCAACTCTCCTAATACCACAATGCCATATTTTTAATAATTAATTTTTTCTGTCTTTACTGATATGTAATACCAACTTTATCATACTAAATATAAAAATATATTTAGACCTATACCCTGACAATACTTATCTACCTACTGTGGACCAGTATCATATTGTTTAAAAAATTATGGATTTATAATACGTTTTAATATTTGAGAGACATTTTTGTCCTTATTCTTTTTCTCGTTTAGAATTTTCCAAGATAATCTTATTCTTCCAGTTGAGCTTTAGAAACAGCTAATCTAATTCTTTTAAAAAGGAAAGAAAATAAGAAAGAGAAAGAAGAAAGCATCTTGTTTATAGTTTTATTGTAATATTGATACAGTTCTCAATTGTCATGGAACTCGCTGACGTTTTAATTGACTTTTTAAATTTAGAAATAGAGCATGATTTTTATTTTTTCAATTCTTATTTTATATCCCTAAACTATTGTTTGGAATTTTTAATGATATTGAGTCTGCCTATTACTTTTAAAATGTTTTCTTAGACATTGTATCTATTTGTCTGTGTGTGGTTGAAGTTGTAAGTGTGATTTTTTCCCTCTCATTATATATTTTAACTGGCTGTTGTTTTTATAGATGATAGCTATTGATTTCTGATTAGTGATTTTATACACCTACTTTATCAATAGCTACTTTCTGATTGATCATTTACTTTTACATAATCACTCTTACCAAAGTCTTTTATTTTTGCAATTTGGAAGTTTTGAGTTGTACTAAAGGCGTAAACTTGAAAGGCTTATTTTCAGCCCAATTCAATTCAATGCCATCAAATCATTATTGAGCGTTAAATATTGCTATGCTAGGCATAGTAACCATAAAAATAAGTTTATCATCTAATGAGACAGATACTGAATTTATGTACATACAATATGAGGTTGCTATAAATGCTATGGAAGAGGCCTCTGGAGTTTTGGGTTTTGTTTTGGAGGGCAAAGGAGTCACGATAAAAGATTGTCAGGTTGTATAGGAATTTGACAGGCAGAGATGCAGGAGTGTGTATAAAAGCAATTCAGGCAGAGGGATCTACATATAAAAAGAAAAATGCAGTCTAAGAAGACTATATGGTGCACATTGAGGGGATATCATGTGATTCGAATGGGTTAGACTAGGGGGTATAGGAAATAGAATGAAGAGAGAAAAGGCAGCAAAGGAAGGAGGGGACAATTATTATGTTTACATTCATTATGGCTGGAAATAAGGGGTCACTGAAGGGTTTTGAGAAGGTGAATGTCATAATCAGAACTACATTATAGGAGGATTAATCTGTGACAAATGGTTTGCAGCAGGAGGTGACTAGAGTGGAGGAAGGGAGATCAATCAACAGGCAGTCTAGACAAGAAATAAGAGGACCTCCTCTAGGATGTTGACAGTGGAAATAGAAAGTAGGAATAAAATAGAAGTGACACTGTGAAAATAGTTTTAAAAACAAGCTTTAAAAACTAATTAGACAAATAGATAAGGAGGACGAGGAAGATAGTGAGACTTTAATTGGCTGGTGATACAGTGAACTGATTGGCAATAGCTGATAAGTCAGATGAAACTATTAAAGAGGAAAGAAAAAGCAACTAATCTGGTTTTGATATATTCATTTTGTTATAATAATTATCAATCGTTTACTGAGTAGGAATGTTTATCTCTATTTCAAGTCAAAAGAAATATTCTTTTGTAAAGACTTAGGATCACACATTAAAATTGTTAACATTTCTTTCAACCTGGATGGATTTCTCCCACTAAAATATTTAATCAAAATTTTCAATAAGCTTGGTTTCAAAGCAGAAAATGAAGGACAACCAAAAAATAGGGATATTAATAATAGTGGTAATGCACAATTATAGATTATCAATAGGAGATGATAGTAGATGTGTTTTCCCAATATACCAGGAAGCTCAAGGGGCAGAACAAACAAGACAGCCCTCCCCTAATAATTCATTTTACCCTTTTCCTCCAGATATGCTTCTAGTCACACATACGGAAGGTGGATTTTTCTAGCCCCTGCCTCCTGTATTCAGGTTTTCCTCCGAAGTGACTAGATAGAACTTTAGGAAATCATAAAATAGGCTCCTGACTCATTTCCCTTCTGTGGCAGATGTGGTACCATGTGCCATTTCTTTAAGACAAAAGGAGAGTGGAGCTCAAAAGCTCATTGAGAACTGAGAAGTAATGAAAATGGCCACATATGTGTGAAGGTGGTCAAGAGTCACAAACCTCCAATTATAAAATAAACAAGTCCTGGGGATGTAATGTACAGCATGGTGACCATAATTAATAATACAATATTGTGTATTTGAAAGTTGTTAAGAGAGTAAGTTGTAAAAGTTTTCATCACAAGAAAAGAAGTTATTTAACTATATGTGGTGACGGATGTTAATCAGACTTATTTGTGGTGATCGTTTTGCAGTACACACAAATATCAAATCATTATGTTGTACACCTGAAACTAATATAATGTTATAGGTCAATTATATCTTAATAGAAGGAAAGGAGAAAGAGAGGGAGAGAGAAAGGGAGAGAAAGAGGGAGAAAGAAAAGAAGGAAGAAAGGAAGGAAGGAAGGAAGGAAGGAAGGAAGGAAGGCAGGAAGGAAGGAAGGAAGGAAGGAAGGAAAGACAATGGGCAACAAAGAGGAGCAGGAATACATCTCCGGTGTCATTTGTTTCTGGGAATAATGACATATTGGGACGTGGTGGAAAGCTGAATCTCCCTCTGCCATACCCACTCGTTAAAAGTAATTGTTACCTAATCCTTGGACTGAGAAAGGGCTTCCGGTAATTTGGGGAAGGGCACCAGGCTCTGTCTTAAGGTTGGGCTGGCTTTGTTCCGGTCGAGGTCAGCACTCTGTGTTTGCTCTCTCAGCGGCATACTGGAAGAGGTTGCATCACAGACCTCCCAGGCTCCCCTCCCTCCTCTTAGCAATGGCTAATGCTTCACTAGCCTTTGCAGGTGAATTGGCTGCAGAAGAGAAAAGTTGAGCTGGGCCAAAAAGGAGGAGCTTAAACCTGTGTGCGCAATCTGGGGACCTGACTGAGTAGAGGTCGGGGGCCTGGTAAGAAGGCCCCGTGATCAGGTCTAGCCAGTGGCGGCTCTGGCCATCCTTGGAACTTATATAAAGGGACAATTGGAGCCCGGGAGGCCACAGTGCTGACACTTACAGGGCTCGGAGCACAGGGCACCCCAACATCATGAGTTGGTCCTTGCACCCCCGGAATTTAATTCTCTACTTCTACATTCTTTTCTTGCTCTCTTCAACATGCTTGGCAGTAAGTGTGCTGTCTACAAGACATATTTTTGTTTTAAACGGAAAGCTGAAAAATAAGAAAATATATGATAAACTAGTAAAATTTCTGCATTTTTCTTCTCTAGTATGTTGCTACCAGAGACAACTGCTGCATCTTAGATGAAAGATTTGTAAGTAGTTTTTATGTTTCTCACTGTGTTTAACCTGGAGAGGGGCAGAGTTATAAAAGCAATTCTCTCACAAATATTATTTGGCATTTTAAACTCTGTTTCTAACATAGGCTAGGTTTTACCTGTTTTTATTAATAGATTTTTTACGGGTAACTTTTATCTGTATTTTAAATCACTCTACTGTTGTATTTTAGGGTAGTTATTGCCCAACCACATGTGGAATTGCAGATTTCCTGTCTAACTACCAGAATGAAATAGACAAGGACCTATACACTTTGGAAGACATCTTAGGTCAAGTTGAAAACAGAACATCAGAAGCCAAAGAACTGATCAAAGCGATCCAAGTCAACTATAATCCCGATGACCCACCAAAACCAAGTGAGAAACTAAACACCAGCGACTGAGAAAGTAATTTGCAAAGTTCTCCTGCTATTGTTTTAGTTGTTCTATTTGCCTAATCATTTTTATGTCTCTGATCCCATATTACAGATAAGATAGACAGTGCTACTAAGGATTACAAGAAAATGATGGAAGAGATTATAAAATATGAAGCATTGATTATAACACACGAAACAAATATTCGGTAAGCATTTTTGTTTTAACTCATCCTCCAAGAGTGATTTCGTTTTTATTTAATATTCCGCACTTCAGTGGAAGTAATCTTTTTTTGCATTTAAAATATCCATCTTGAACATAATGGAGGTAGTACTTTTTTAGTGCAATATGAATTGTATTGAGTTATAATTGCTTTTTCATTATCATGTGGGAGAAAGATGCTCTAATGTCTTCAAATGCTGTTATCATCATATTATCACAATGTTTTCCCCACCCTCATTTGTCTTACCACATAAATTCAAATGGGAATTTGGGTGCCAAAAGTAGAATTCTCTTTATAACACTGTCAATGGATCAGTGGTGAGGAATTTGCAAGCAGAAGCATAGGAAGGATCTTAGCTACAAAAGTAAATTATATTGACGGTAGAACAGAAAAAAAAATGTGTTTTAAGAAACTGAATGTACCAAACATTGTAAAGCTGTGTCGATCATGGGACAATGACCTGCAATTATGCATTCTCCTCCTTTCACCTGGAAGAGAAATGTCTCTGTTAACAGCTTCCGGGGCCTCATAAACTTTCTGAGCATAGGGTCACAGATACAATTTTAGTTTCTTCCTCAATTTTTTTTCTGAATTGTTTTCAAAGCAGCGTAAGAAATTACGATAAATGGTGGATGATGGCTAGGGAGAAGGAGCCCAGGAGGGATTTCTCCTCTTTTTGGTATCAGAGGGGCATGGTTATTATTGCTGCGATTATTATTAGCTTTCTACGTTGCATTATTATTGCCCATCATTGAAGTTGAAGGAGACGACTGTGCAGAAATTTTCTAAGGTCCAGTGGAGACCTTAGAAATAGTTTGTTTATCTTTCTTTACTTCAAAGAAAGACACAATAGTCTGTGCATCATAGACAGTTTTCTATCATTTCTGAATATGTACAAGCAACCCTGTGAGAAATTCCAAAAGCAGCAATTTTCACTTACCCCAGCCTTTTCCAAAGCTATGTAAATAGAAACATGAAGAAGGTTGGAGAAGTGCCTGTTGCTTTATTTTATGTAAGATAATGTCCCAGATACTTTTTCCATGTAAGTTATAGATTAAAGTCCTTAAATAGATCTTCAGTAGATACACAAGTGAAAAAGAAATGATGCTTCAGCATATGTGAATTACTAAACAGAGTCTTTCCTTCTTTAAGAATATGCAGTGCTAAGAATTATCATCAGGCAGTCTTCCTATGAACCAGGCTCTTTGCCCACTTAGGTCATTATCTGCTGCCTTTGACGCAGTTGGTAAAAATCAGAAAGAGCATTGTTTAATGACAATGACATTTTTTAATTGGCAAAGACTTTGTTATCTTCTTTTCCAGAAAGCTTAGAATTTTAATTTAGTAACATAATTTTATAATTTTTTCAAAAACAGAATAATAGACCAGAAAATAATTCTTGAGAAGACAGGGTAGTATTTTTAAATTAAAATATGAGATTATATCTCTGAAAGGAATACTCTGCTATCTTATTCTTCTGCTTGTAGATATTTGCAGGATATATATAATTCAAATAATCAAAAGATCCTTAACCTGAAGCAGAAGGTATCCCAGCTCGAAGGACAGTGTCAGGAACCTTGCAAAGACACAGTACAAATACAGGATACAACTGGGAAAGGTAAGTGAAAGGTCGATGTTGGGATTATGTTCATCAAAGCTAACATATGAAGTAAAGGAGATTTTATGTATTGGAATGTATAGGAATAGTTTTGAAAGTGTCTAGCCATTAAATCTAAAGTGTCCAATTGCTTAGACTTTTCCTAAGTAGCTAAAAATAGTGTGAAAGGAATGATGATGTGAGAAGAAAATGTGGGAAATGAATAGCTTGCAACATGTTAAAAGCTTATTTTTAAGGCTGAAACAGTTTTTGCTGGATTTCATACCACAGTAAAGGTTTCTTCTTCTTTAGATTGTCAAGATATTGCCAACAAGGGAGCCAAAGTGAGTGGGCTTTACTTTATCAAACCTCTGACAGCTAAGCAGCAGTTCTTAGTCTACTGTGAAATCGATGCATCTGGAAATGGATGGACTGTGCTTCAGAAGGTATGTTTTTCCTCACCATGTGTGTTTAATAAACACCAAAATAAACGTCTGCCCTGCACTGGATACTTTTACAAGTGCCTTATGAACATGAACTCAGGTAATTTTCACAACTTCCCTATGAGGTAGATATAATTATTACCACTTTTTACAGAAGAGGACACTTCGGCACAAGAAGTTAAGTAACTTGCCCAAGATCACATAACTAGTCTGTGAAAAAGTCAGTCTGGTTTCAAAATTCATGCTTCTACTCTATGTTAAACTAGCACTGCTGCTATAGATTCATGATAATACACAATCACAGCATCATAGTGACAGAAAACTAGAAGAGACCTCTTTCATCAGGTAGGTCAAGACCTATGGCTGCCCATTACAAGAAGATGAAGTTCCCCAGAGGATAGAGTTGCGCTGTTCCAAGACAAGGACCCTCTGTTTCCTCTACCAGCCTCTGACAGCCTCTGTAACTTCTGTTGACCTTTGACCACTGTTACAACTAGTCCTGCAGGGGGCGCTCAGAGGGAGGGAGTGATGGAAGCTCTAGTTGGTAAACAGGTTGAGCAATAATAGGTTGACCTTTCCAACATCGGTGCAAGAATCAACAATATCAAGCTGGAGTGCTGAAGTCCTCCAAGTGTCTTTTAAAAATTACCGCTAATTTAGAGTTTACCATGTGCCAGGCACTCTTTTAAGTATTTCTCTTACATCCTGTCTTATAATCCCTGCATGAACCCTAAGAAGTAAGCATCATTATTCTTATTTGACAGATGAGGAAACCGAGGCAGCTTAACCAAAGTCATTTAGTTAGTAAATGATGGAATCATACCCTCCATATTTTCGACAAATGTTTATAATGTTTTCTTTATGTGCACTGATAGTCTGATCTCTCCTTTTGCCCGTGCAATTGTGTATTTAGAGGCTTGATGGCAGTGTGGACTTTAAGAAAAATTGGATTCAATACAAAGAAGGATTTGGACATCTGTCTCCTACTGACACCACAGAATTCTGGCTGGGAAATGAGAAAATTCATTTGATAAGCACACAGTCGGCCATCCCATATGTGTTAAGAGTGCAGCTGGAAGACTGGCAAGGCAGAACCAGGTACTGTTTAGAAAGGACTTCTCTTTGTTGTCTGGAATGTGCACTTTGCAACCATCAACAGACCAATGGCAGAGACAGCCTGACAAATGCAAAGAGCACATCCAGCTCTCTTCCCCAGAAGTCAGTTTGGTTCTTGGGCAGTGCAAAGAGACAGGCCCTAACCAGGCTGGTCAGAGTACCTTGATACAGTCTACTTACCCTGGACCCATACAGAATAATTGCTAATATTTATTGAGCATTGAATATTTACCACAAATTGAGCATGAAATTATAATTTAATCTAATCCTAATAACTCCATCATGAGACAGTTACTCTTATTAATCCCATTTTACAGATGGACTTTTCCAAGGTCACATTGCAGGCATATGGTAATGACTGGATTTGAACTCAGGTCGTTTGACTCTATAGCCCATCCTCTTAATGACTATCTTGGTTGAAAAGCAAATCCAGCTTCTTCAGATTTCCTAGTGGTTTAATTATCATTCATTCAGTCAAATCCATGAGCTACATTAAAATTACATTAGCTAGCTCCTTTGCTGAGATAGAGCCCCCTCCATGCTCAGAGCTATCTGAACATTGTATATCTAATTAAAATTCAGAAAAATATCCAAACCTCTTGTTATGTCCTTGAAATAATGAAACATATTTTGTGGCCAAATAAGTATATTTATTTTTAAAATTATTACCCAGAAAGTACCATAGTCAGTAGATTTGCTCCTGTGAGAACATCTCTCATTTCCCAAATACTGGAGATCAGGGAAGAAACTAAATATTTTCTGGAAATCTCTCTTCATGCACCAAGGCCCTTTCTTCCCTGCACTCCATAGAATTCTGGCCCTTATTCACAATTTTCTTTTCCAGGGGAGGCTCTCTCTGATCCTCTATCTCATGTTTTGTGGGCCAACACAGGAACCACTTCTTTCATGCAATGCTCTAGGAAACCCTCCTTCTTGTCTCTACAATGCTGCCTTGGGAAATAAAAACCTTTTAGCACCTCACTCTTCAGATGGTATGAGTGGCTGAAGGGGCTGTAGCTCCTTGAAGTTGGGTACATTAATTAATAGTCACTCACTGTCAGCTAATTACTATGCTTTATGATAACTGTGTGCACAATGCTAAAAACACTTAGATAAAAGTGGAAAATATAAAATTAGTCAGATTCATCCACACATCTGGGTTTGATATTAGGATCCTAATAAGCAAAGAGCATTAAAACGACTGAAGTTTTCAGTTTTCGCCGAGATGCCTTAAAGGCTTCTAGACCATTGTGAGTGGCACTGATGAACTCTGAACTGGTTCATACAGCCATTGCCTCTTGCCAAATTTGCAGAAAACCTTATTCGATGAGCACATTTCAGATATAAGAAGCGAAGTTAAAAATCCTGAACAAGCGTCCTGTGGAAGATGGAACTTTTGAGGTCCCTAATGAGACTCAAGATTTGATTTCTCTTTGGCCTTCTTTACAGTACTGCAGACTATGCCATGTTCAAGGTGGGACCTGAAAGTGACAAATACCGTCTAACATACGCCTACTTCATCAGTGGAGATGCAGGGGATGCCTTTGATGGCTATGATTTTGGCGATGATCCTAGTGACAAGTTTTTCACATCCCACAATGGCATGCAGTTCAGTACCTGGGACAATGACAATGATAAATTTGAAGGCAATTGTGCTGAACAGGATGGATCTGGTTGGTGGATGAACAAGTGTCACGCTGGCCACCTCAACGGGGTTTATTACCAAGGTATGGCTTTCTCCCTTAGATATATGAGTTAGTGTATAGTCTTTATCTTTAAAAAAGGTATAAATAGATAGAAAGAAATGAGAAATGATTAATAAAGATATTAGGGGGCTTATTATATAGTTCTTGATTTTAAATCAAAATTGTAAAGTACTATGCTTATACCTCAAATTGGTCCCTCTACAAGAAATCCACTTGCTGCAAAATATTCAGTGGTTTGTCACTGAGCTTGAAACTACCACTATCAGAGATGACACTTTGAGTTAGGTATCTCCTCCAGACTTACCATATATGTAATCTAGATGAACTAACATTACCATATTTGTGCTTGTTAACACGTTATAGTGTGGCTTAGCATCATGGAAGCTATGTATCAGATATAACCAGTGAGCAGTGAGCAAGTGCCTGGAGGATTGGAGTAAAGAGCAGGGAATTATTGAGAAAGGCAGGGGTCCATGAAAGCTTGAGAGAAGAGGAGTCCAGCCTGAGGAATGTAGACACTTATGTTAGGATGGGTGGGGGAAGGAGAGAAAGGCAAGCTATAGTTTGCTTTAAGGCTGGAATTGTCCTGAACACCGATTTTACTTACTGACAGCTACTGTTACTATCCAACAGTTATGTGTGGAGAAGCCCGCTGGTGCTAAAAACCATTAAGATGAGCAATCTTACCTCCTCAGGGTACTGTACCAGCCAATAGATGGTTTAAAACCTTCCTAAAAATTATTTAAATTTACTTTTTGGTTTTCACAACACTTTTTTTTTTTTAGAAATCTAATTTATCTTTGCACCTACAAACCATATAATTAGAAGAAATTCTCATGGAAGGTGCTTGCAGAGCAGCCATGTTGCTAGCCTGTGGTATACACCACTGTTAGATTCAGACAATGCCTTACAAAATTACATGCGATCTGATGCCCAGGGACAGGGAGTTGGCAAATCAACCTAGTCTCCACTTTATAATGGGGATGCAAAATAACATTCCAGGGGAGTTTTCTAAAGTCTCTTATACTTTGCAGTAAAATTGTATATTCAGATGACCTGAGACCATCTGATCTGGAGTTGTGACTCCTGCCATTCTAAATTGTTTGTAGAAAGATGGTCCATATAGCCAAGTCCAGGATGGCTAAGCTTAGGGAGAGAGACCAGTTGGGGAAATTGGGGTTCTAGCCCTATTAGTAGTGAATATATTTAAAGTATGGATGTGGCCAGGAAATACAACACAGATGTAAGGGATTATTTAATAATAAACTTATTTTAACTGATACTTTCAGTTAGTGTTATATCAGTTAGTGAAAATATCAGTTAGTGATATGACATTGGACTTCATAACTGACAGTTTTATAAACTCTCTGAAGTAAGGAAATCCAAGAGCAATGATATGCACATCTACAATTTGTCTTAGGTGGCACTTACTCAGCATCATCTACTCCTAATGGTTATGATAATGGCATTATTTGGGCCACTTGGAAATCTCGTTGGTATTCCATGAAGAAGACCACCATGAAGATCATCCCATTTAACAGACTTGCCATTGGAGAAGGGCAGCAGCACCACCTTGGGGGAGCTAAACAGGTCAGACCAGAGCACCACGTTGAAATAGAATATGATTAAGTCATTTTGCCCTGAGAATTAAATGTACATTTCTTTTAACCCACAAAGTTTCAGAAAGTTTTCTGAAAGTTTCTTCTCATTTTCTTATACCGTATTTATTAATTTTATCTTTTGTTAAGGACATTTAGCTTTAAATGGAAATTAAAACTTACTTTGAACTGTATTCCCAAATTAGTGAACTCAGAGTTATTTAAAATGTGTTTATCTGATGAGATAACATTTTAGCATATTTCTTAGGTATATGTGAAATAATTGCCATATTTTTTCATTTTAATGATCACACGTCATTTTGTCTTGGTGATTTTAAAAAACTATTTCTTAAATATTTTAGTACATGCTAATAAAATAGGAGTAAATTCTAGCATTTCAAATGCCTATTTTTTCCATATGTATTACCCCTAAATCATTCATATTTAATTCTTTTTAAATGGAGAGAATTATATCTCTTTAATATATTTTTGTTTTGGTCATAGGCTGGAGACGTTTAAAAGACAATTTCAAAAGTGATTTACTTTTTTTAAAGGACTTTATCTGAACAGAGAAATATACTATTTTTCATATGGGACAATGGACTTGTAAAGCCTCACTTCATTTTAAGAGAAAAAAGAACCCATGTTGAAAACTCCACTAACGGTTTTATGCTGGTGATAATTTATCTACATGCCATTTCAATAAACATTTTGTTTCCTAAGACTAGATACGTGGTACCTATGATTGACCATTAAAAATCATCACTTTCCCTCAATTTGGTAATTACAGTTGGGCGATCATCGGTAGTTGCTGAGTTTTCACTTTATGCTAAATATTATACCTTTTTGTGGGGGAGTTATGATGGAAATAAAAATCATAGCTTTTGCTGTCCAGGGGATATTAGATAAACACAGGAAAATACAGTAATCCAAGGAGAAAAAATTTGATATAAAAACAAAAGCACAAGTCACAACCACATAATTAAAGTGAATAGTGCCCGAAGTGGAGCTGAAGACATAGGCTGTTTGGGGATTCTCCCAGCAAAACTTTTTGAGTCCAGACTCCGGTGGCCAGATGTGGGCACTCTGAAAGGACCAAAACTCAGAGCAGAGAGCTTTATGGAAACAGTCTTCTCAGTCCCTCACTAACAAGTCAGCAGAGTGGAGCCATTACTTCGTTCTGAATCTAGGGATCTTGAAATTAGGGAGCCCCAACTTTCTGTAAGAAATAGTTAAGTCTTTAAGTTGGTATAAGGTTAACCGTGTAAAGTAATTGACTAAATCTATGAAGGGAGGATCGGGTTGTTCTGAAATCCTAAGCTTTGGCTTTGGATTCTCTTCTTTTGCACAATTTCTTTCTTAATTCTCTCACTTCCTTGTTCTCATGCATCCTGATTTTAAAATATCCCATTGAAATAAAAACAGTAAATCAACCAGATATACAGCCAAGTACTTGCAAGTCTTTGGGAAATAGGGATGTTGATTTGTTGTTTGTAGCATTAATTTATTCATGTATATGTAAAACATTCATTCAATTAACATATATTGATGTATCGAATGCCACTGTGCTGGATACTGAGAATATCGCGTACAGTACTAGCCTCTCTCCCAAACCTGCTTTATTCCATCCAGTTCTCAAGTTCCAAAAAAACCAATAAGTTATCCTCCAGTCTTCCTTATTCTTCCTTCCTCATATCATAAATGATATGGGGAAGGAGGATCCACCCCCTAAATATTTATCATATTCATTTCCTTTTCTGTACACATTGCCACATTTCAGCTGGGATATACAACATCTCTTGCCAGGATAATGGCAATCTCCTTCCTGTCCTTCATCATGCCTCCAACCTTTCCTGCTCCCACCTCGTCATGCTCTGAACTACTTCTAAACTCAGAATGCATACAGTTTACCCTTTGTCAGTATATAATGTCCTTTAGGTGGGCAATTTGATCATAGATAGGAAGAGTCATATAAATAATAATACGTTTCGATACAATAATATCACCCCAGTGGTTTATCCCAAGAAAATTATCTTCGAAAAAGAAAATAGCTAGGTACAGAAATATAAATATAGCCATATATTTAACAACAGTGAAATTATTTAGCAGTAGAAGAATGAATAAGCAAGGTTGTTTTATTCGAAATTATTTAGAAATTATTTAGCAGTGGAAGAATGGATAAGCAAGGTGGTTTATTAGTACAATGAATAGAAAACATTGATTACATAATAAGCATTATATTTCATCATGAACATGGAAACATTTACAAAGTAATAAGTGAAATTTTGAGATAAAAACAGTTCTACAATGTTTATATGCATATACATTTTGAATAAAATATAATCTTGACATATATGCCTTATTTGTACATATTTGCATATACAAAAAGTATATATGCATATACATTTTGAATAAAATATAATCTTGATATATATGCATTATTTGTACATATTTGTTCTTCCCAAACCAATCTGTAATGTAAAATTTGATAAAAATACTAAACACAAAATAAAGAAGTCAAAAAGTTTCTGATTTTTCTCACAGTCACTTGTCCAGTGGTTTTTCTGAAATAGCAATTATAACATTCTTTCAAAAACTCCCTGTTTTTGTAGCTGTTCCAAATACATATTTGATCTGCATGTAGGGTCTTCCAGCATTGATCGGTAGGGAGGGGCTTCTAACTATCTCTTTATACACCTCTATATTGTTTGACTTGTGATGAATACATATTAATTTTGTTAATTTTAAAACCCAATGAGATAGAGAAAAACATGAACTTCAAAGTTCTACTTGTCTAGTTGTTAATATTCAGTGGTGAATGTTGAAGGGCTACAGTTTAAGAACAAAAGCATGAGATGTACGTCCAGACTTAATTGGATCACATCTCCACAAATAAATGGAAATTGAAAGGATTATCTTGTTTGATAAACTTTTAGAAGTCTACTTTTAAGTGAAACAAAGAGTTTGGAGCCTCATAGACACAGATTATTTTTCTTCACAGCTCAAATCACAGATAACTATTACCCCACCTTTCCCTTTACTTTCCTGGGCATAAAAAACTCAGGTCACTGCAAAATAGGGAGTCTCAGTATAAAGTGCTGTGCACAGTTACACACTTTGAAAAACCTACAGAAAAGAAAAGTATGGGAACAAATATACTGATACCATGACTTCAGATTCTGCAGCTACAGGGCAGAGTTCTTTAATCAGCAGACAGGAGTAAACATTTATTGGACAAATATCAAGATTTTTAAATATACCTTTGAAGTACTATAGCTTTTTTTCCCAATTCTCCTTACGTTTAGTAGTTACACTGTAAAGACTATGTTTCAGACTTGTGCGTGGATTGAAAGTGAGTGGGACATGAAGAAATATACGTATAGATGACATATTTGAAATCTTTACAAAATCTAAAATTCCTCGACTCTGACTTTAACCAGTGTAAATTAGCCAAGGTATTTATAGTAGATGTGTTTGGTTTATTCAGATGATGAGAGTGAAAAACAAAGTACACATTTAATCCTGGGGAAAATATATCTACCTGATGATTTCTTATTGGTTTAATGTAGCTCAGGAAAGGGGAGGAAAAAGTTAATGATAATAAGATGAGTTGAAGATGGAAAATGAGTTAGCGATGAAGAGTGTGTGTGTGTGTGTGTGTGTGTGTGTGTGTTGGGCGCCCATCCCACAGAGGTAGAAGTGGAGTTAGCCAGACTCCTAGTACATTATTCTCATTCATCTGTGCTCAGCCACTTGATTGATTAGTTCTTTTTTATTCCAATTTCCTTTTCTCCCCTCTGTCTCTATAATAAACAATCATTTAAAGAAGATGTTTGATGTGTGTTTCTTTATTTGTCTGCAATCCTATAAATCATGGATTTTTCTTTTGAACGATGTGTTTTTAATTATATAAGTGGCATTATGCAATAAATCAGTGTTGCTCAGAATAGTGGTCCCCAAATTCTTTGTTACTGGTCTGTGTTAAATGAAAAAATTGAAAATAATCATGTAGAAACATTTTTCCTAAATTATATTTGCTCTGATTATATTTATTAATATTTTTCCTTTAAGGAGGAAAACAAACAAACTAAAGATAGATTGTTATTGGCCTTGTAAACATGAGCTTTGGCCCTACTAGTCTGCTAGGTGTGGTCCACTGTGAATATTAAGAATAGTTTTGACCGTTGGACTGTAGAACACTCTGTTGTATCAGGTTCGAAGACCTTTTGGGAAGACTGGCTGGCACAACTTCAAGCTCTTGCTCATTTCAATTTCATTGGGAAATATTTGAAGCTACAAACATATATCCAGGATCATGACATTTAATAAAGTCTACAACTGGGTCAAAAATGTGTTTCCCAAATGAAAATCCAGTATTCTTGGCCCTCACTCCCATTTCCCAGGTCCTCACCCAGGGTTTTGTCTGCTAGTAACTTCAAAAGCACAAATGACCTGAGATAGATGGGAATCCTCTCTAGATAAATCTAAATGTTGACTCTCCCTAAATAAACAGAGTAGGGCAGATTCCATTCTGTGATGAAAGTGACCTCTTTCAAATCCTTAGGGGCAAATAGTTAAAGTATGAC